TGATAGGCAACTCTGACGTCACTCCGTAAGACTACAGGCGAAAGATTGTATTTCATGATACGCTCCAATGCACATATTTCTCGTCGCCTATCGCGACCGTTTTCAGCTCGCTTTTGCTACTCGGCGTCTTCTTTACGTGTAGTACCTGCCCTTTTGCGACTGTAACGAAAGAAAATAATCTCTATATCTAAGAAATTTTACTCACTTGGAAAGCTGGAATGGCAGACAAGCTGTAAAGAGCAATTCTGGACATCATGGACGTTTTTTTATCAGAGAAGATTACAAACGCGATAGCGGAAAGATTTGTGTGGAACATTTTGCAGATAATGACAAATTTCAAAGTTAGTAATTTTAATGTTTGCGCTTAAACATTGAAATTTCATTTAAAGAGGGTGTCATACAGGACAGCAAAACTGTTTTTACTTCTCCTAACGGTGCTGTGATACAATTCCATAACACAAAGTTTGCACCAATCGAACTTGCTTTTGTAGGTGAATTAATTAGACATATTACATATTCAGTTAATCGTAGGTAACATTGCTGGTACATAATGCCTCGTAGATAGGTTTGTTTAAATTTAGGAATTCAGCTCATAGCCCACTAATTAATATTATCTTCTGTGCAGGAGGTTGCAGGGCTGAATTCAACTTGCAGCCTTACCGATCACCTGACCTTGCTCATTTAGTTTGGCTCGAGCAAGTCTTCTTGAAAGACTTGTGTGAATGGAAACTACCTATATGTTTTACCTTCCTCCGATTTTAGAAGACAAATTTGTTCTGAGGGATTTCGCATATAATTCTCATTGATTATTGGCTGTTTATAATTCCTATTAATTGTGAATTCTGATTATAACAAAGAGTTAAAAAAAAAATTACGTAATTTACTGGCACCTCTTTCTTGTCAATACTCCAAGTCCAAGCTGAGGTAATAAACAAGACAATACATTTATGTCATCTGAAAGCAAAATATGCACACTAATTAATAGTTTGACACATTGTGATAATACATCATGACAGAAAATACAAGTTAAAGATATGTTTGACCATCACATGGTAATTAAAATTAAAAAAAAAAATTATTAGCGGCTATGGAGTATGAAAAGTTTAAGACAAAGAAAAGAACAAGAGTTCATAGCTCATGAACTCTCAATTGTGCCTCCATTGCTTTGTGAAGGCCAATATATTTTGAGTGGCTGAATTGGTTTACCTTTATGATGGCAACGATTTTGTATTTAATATAGCAAGATTTTTTTCAATTTAATTAAAGTGATATTATTTCCCAGGCAATGCTTGAATTGTATAGAATAGATCAGTGGTGTCAAACTCATGGGTTTTTGAGAGCCGCATTGCGTTTTGGAAATTGTAAAAAGGGCCGCAAACAGTTTTCGATAATGTATACTTGAAAGATATTTTTAAGATAGTTTTAGTTTGTGACATATGTTGTGATGCAACTAAACAGTTGGATTAAGTTTCATTATTTTCTTTAATTTCAAATGCAATTACATATTAATATTTGCATTCCACTATTATTGCACGTTACTGTATTTATTACAAAAAATCATAAAATTCTATGTACAACCATCAAAATCATTTTTGAACATACTTTGGATAAGGAAAGAATAATACACACTAAAAATGACTTAATTTAAATACATGGACCTAAAATTAACAAAAATACTACAGTATAAACTCAATGTTTTTTTAATTACATTTGTCCTGACGTTTGGTATCTTTTTTGTGTCACCAGCATACTAAGGCCAGGCTGAAATGATTTTATAGTACCAACTCTAACTAACGAGGTCACATGATCATGGGCTAATCTGGATCTTTGCGAATGTTTAATAAATTCCAGTAATGCAAAAAAGTTATTTTATAATTTCATGTATAGATCAGTAAAAAAACAAATGACAGATTTTTTCGACAAGACATTTCGCACCACATTGCGTGGCATATGATTGCTTGAAATATTATTGATATTTATTTTTAGTAACTAAGTCGTTGTATAATTATATTAATATACAAATACATGAAAATTTTCTGTTCAAAGTTGCTCTTCGAATTTGTCATATCGACTGCTGAGCTTATTGCGTTTTTCATTGTATTGATGGAAATATGACAAATTAAACAACGTGCTTCAGAATTTTGTGAAATGCAGAAATATTGCAACTCTCCATTTTCTTTGAAAATACCACCTTCTTCATGTACTTTGCGTTTAATTTAATCACTCGAGTGTTTTATTCAAGTATTCTTTTGCTAGCTTGGTGTGTATTCTTAATTGGGTAAAAATGTGAACAAAAAAAATTAATATTTCAAAACTACTTTCAGTAAATTGTTTTCTGTGTGAATAATCAATTTCACTTGTAAAGGTTTGGAAAATCTATTACATTTAGATAGAAAAAAACTTCAAAAATGCTATTACAATTATTGCTAAGCGTTCGATGGCCGCACTGGAAGTTCTCTGGGGCCGCGAGTTTGACATCCCTGGTTTAGATTGAAGTTGTCCAAAATATATATAACAGTATTTTATCATGAATCATGATTATACCCTTTCCTGAATTTCTTCTATAGTACTACCAAAAATTGATGAACCAAATATAACACAGGTGTAGTGAGTTACCCGTAATCCTCATTTTCCAAAGCTGTTTTAAGTATGTCTTGCGTGTTTTGTACCTTTTTACAAATAGGACCGCCTATGCAATCTCACGCTTTAGAATTTTTAGTTATTTTCCTTAAGTCATACAGGATGTGGGGGCCATACACAACTCTACCGGAGGGTCAAATGTCTTTGCATGCCTCCATAGGTTGTTCTTCTATTGCAAACATTTATGGAGTACTCTAATTATATTTCTTGGAATCACACGGTCACTGGTATGTCACCAGACTTCTGATATCTCCCCTTCTGCTATAATTGTCCTGTGAATAAATGATAGGAAATTGAGATTAGACGATTAGTTGAAACTTTTGCTTTATGTCGGCTTAATTTCTTGATTGATATACGTACTATTTTAGCTATTGCCTCTTGTGCTGCAGGAGTCTCACAATGCTTAGACAGGTTTGTCCACAACATTCACATCTGAAGAAAGAGAGGAGATTTATTAATTTTCGTCAATAATAAATGAAGCAGTCTATATGATTTAGAATGGAAAAGCTAATAAATCCAATAAATCATGTTTAATGTAAAAAATGTTTTACTGAATTTGGTATATAAACCAACTAATAAAGGGGTTTAGTCAGAAAATTACAAGCATTCGTGGCTCCATATACTTGAGAGATCAGACTATACAATATAGACCGGTATGAGTGAAATGTTAGGTGAACTTGTTAACCCTTTGATTCAATCCTCACTGAATAAAAAATATCTAAATGGAGGTGCATGAACTATTTGAAACCATAAGGGGTAAGTAAATATGCAATTTCGGCAAATGGGCAACTACGTACCGTACTGAATTAATAACTTCGTAGTATATGACAAAAGCTGGCTTTCCCACATGTTCTTAACAGTGCGATGCCCGGGTGTGATATACAACAATAGTATTTACCTTACCTTTTTCCGATTTCTTTTTACCTCAACTTTCCAAAATATCATTAAAATCGACAACAACTGTCAAAGCAGGCACGAACACCATTCGTGCTATGCCTTAAAAGCAGCACACATCCGCTCGTTTTCGTCTCGTCAAGTATGTGCATTGGAGCGTGCTATCGGATACGATCCTCGGCCAAAAATGCCGTAGTTGCGCATCATGTTGTTTAATGTCATTGCAGTGACGTAAAAGAGCCCTTCAAATTATGCGAACTGTCATTCAAGACGCGCAGACGAGAACCCGAAATCGAACAGCCATTTCTCTCGTTTTTTCGTCGCAATGATCCCGATAGAAGAGAGATTGCTGACGTTAGTCAGTTCTTCATCGTCGGAGCCGATGCCATTTCGGGCGATCGTACGAGTATTTGGCAAGCTCTATGACGTGATTGTGACGTCGTAGTGACATAATTTTTGGATGGTGTAGTCAGGTGAGGTTTGGGATTGGCATGTCAAAAAATTGTTATGCTACGCCTACTAGAAGTACGTTAGGTACGAAACTACACGAGACCCAATCGAGCAAGCTATTTCTTTCACTTTTTCTCGATTTCTATTTCTCAAATTATGCAAATTATATCCCTATCTGGATTGGCAATCGAAACAAAGGTGGCCTTATATTTGCGGAGATAGGAAACGAATAAACGGTGATTGTAGGATTGTCTAAAACTAATTGGATGGATTCCTAGTTGTATTAGATTTTTTTACTTAAAAAAACTACATACAATTATCTGAATATAGAAATAATGAAATCATATGATACGGTACCGTACCGGTACCGGTACCGGTATCTTAGAATAACCCAATTTTTGATATACCTAGTTTCATACTTGAAAATATTGGTTTAGAATTTGTTTGGTACGGTATTATACCTATCTGAGCAGTTCCAAATTCGAAGAAAACTGGATATTTACAAAAGAAGCAAATCCACAATACTATACAGCAGTGGTTCTCAAACGGTGGGGCGCGTCCTACAAGAGGGCTGGGGGGCGTAGACAGTTTTTTGAGGGGGCATGAAGCTGATTAAAAACAAAAATATTTGTCAGATTTGATCTTGGCCGCCTTATTTTGGATATTTATATTTCTTTATTGTTTACTCTAGAGATTGCGGAGAGTTTTCTGAATAAAACATACTTTAGCCTTAGTTTCTGTTTTTTGTAGCGTATTGTTAGTTATTTTTAATTTTGAAGTGGACCGCAAGACAAATTGTAAAAAGAGGGCTAGACTTAAAAAGTTTGAGAATCACTGCTATACCAGTATACAAGATAGGTATAAAAATTTATAAAGACATAGGCCTACAGATAGTATATGCTAAGAAAAGGGATACCAGAATACCAAATACACAAGCTCATTTGTGGCAAAACCTTAAAGAAAGCCTTATCTACAACATTTAATTTACCAGATTATATTGTGGGTGTATAATGGGATCATAGCGGTAGTTCATCCATGGATTTAACGAACACAAGTTCTCCGCACTTCGAACATGCTGCTGAAGGTTCATCTTGTCCAAGTGTTGAAATTTCTATAAGTTCTTTGCAGGAAAGACAAGAATATTTATTGAGCTCCTTCACTTGGTATGCTTCAGCCCCTCTCTTTATGTTAAAACCAACAAAGAATTCAACCCTTCTTCCCTGGTTAGAGTCACTGCTGTGAAATCCATATCTCTGTGGATTGAAATAAAGTTTCAATTTGATTTCTTTGTTGGTATCCATATTTATTATACCTCTGTGGATCCTACAGTCACTGATTTCTCCAGTGCATACTTGTAGCTTGGAAATGCTCTCCTTAGAACTCCAAAATTTCCCATTCCATTTTCCAAGTGTTCTTCGGTGAATAATCTTACGAATTGAGTTTTTATTGTCTGCTTTTGCAAGCCATTCTAGTGATATGCTTTTGTTAACATGGTACACAATGCTCTTTCTCATATCTTCTCTTAGATTATCAATTTGCTGCCTGTGGTAGTTTGCTACACCTTTTCTTTTGTTTGAGGTTGGTGTGGTTAGTGAGAGAACTACGGTAAGAACGTATTGGTAATAGTTTGCCAGTGATCCCTTCTCTTTTTTCGTGATGACCACCAATCTATTGTCGATTTTACCTCTGATAAGATGTATTCTTTGTTGAAGTCTAAATGACGTATGACATTAAGCCAGTCTGTTACATGTAATGAAATAGGATCATCCAATTTTAGTTTTCTGGCTTCATTGAAACACTCTTCGTACCATTGGACCATTTCATTCAGTTTTTCCTTATGCTTGTTTTGAATTTCATGTCTGCTTGCATAATTGTACTCCTTGTTAACGAATGCCTTGAAAATGGCGATTTTACATCTTGCTCTGGAAAAAGTATCAACTTTATCAATCCACTTTTCTAGATATTCTTTGAAGTTTTCAAAGCATTTTATGAATTGTCGGACACATTTATCAACTCTCCATAAGTCAATTTCGTACTCGTCAGCTGACATCAGACATAATGACAAAAGTTCATCACAGCGACTAAATGAACCAAGTGCGAATACACCCAGCTCTGGAATTGGTGCCATGTATTTCTGTAAAGAAGTAACGTTCCCTCCACTAATGTTATTTACATATTCAGTCACTTGCATTCTGACCTTAAGTTCTCCCATATAGATGTAAGACATATGATGTCCTCTGTGACTGTGGTGTCCAGCTTTATTGAAATTTTTGATAGACGTCCTTGCAATCTTGAGTATACTTTGACTTCTAGATTCTTCTGAAAGATCCAAGAGTATTGTGTGTCGCAGTTGATCCTTATAGAAATAGCCAAGCATAGTATAAATTCTATATAGTACCGAATCTTTATTTCCTTTTTGCTTTTTAAGTGCCAGTGTTATCGCTTGTTTAAGATACTTTTCCCCTTTTTCAAATTGCTCGGTCTTTCCATAAAATCGTCCAAGGTGAGCATGAAATTCTTCTCCTTCGTGAAAGCAGTTTACTAATTTGAGAAGGACATTCTCTCTATCTTCATCATTCGGTGTTTCCTCTATCAGCCTTGAGTAGTGTTGAGTACTCTCACGTTTGACAAAAATTTTTGTCAGAGCATCAGAAATTTTTCTTAACAGCTTGTAAGAAACAACCTTTCTTCATCTCTGGATCGAAATCCAAAACTCGTAGCCAAGGCGCAAAAGAAATGCTGCCTAATATTTGGGTAGGATTTGAAATGGGACTGGCAATTAGTATGCAAGCATATTTGTGGATGGAATTGCTTGTAAACACTGTAAGTTTTTTCAATTCAGTCTTAAAATCGACAGCAGGTTTGTATGCATCTCCAAACAAAAATTGATTCATACACTCGTATATTAGAATGACAGAAGCATTGGAGCCCTCTACCCCAGTTTTTGCACATTTGATATTTTTGCTCTTTTCTGTTTGTGATATAGTCACTCTTGATATGATCTATATCAGAGTCATCCAACTTCAGAAACAACCGGGAAAATTCATCCCAGTTTTTGTCAGGAATTTTTTTCATGACAGCATAATAAGCATCTTGTAAGGATATTCCTTGTGGTGGATCCCATCCTGAATCATTTGAAGCCATGCACAATTTTAAAAGGTCAACTCCATTAGGAATAAAAAAGAGAAAGGTTACAGTTTTCCAGCTCAGTTGTTCAGAGGATTATATGCTGTGGCATGTACCTATTGGCTAGTATTAATTCTGTAAATTTTTATACAAAACCCTTCACAAACTTCATGAAAAAATGGGGTGAGCATCAATTAATTCTTTTTGGAAAAAGGCATTGTATATAGATTTATAACAGATCTAGTGTGGTTGGTGTAGCTGCTGTTCATTGTGCAGCATGTGAATAACTTCCTAATTGAGACAACCTCCTACTAGCCATATTCCATGCTTAGCGCTTCCGAAGTATTCGTACCAAGATGGCGCACCAACCATCATACCAACCTGAACCCTAACCTGGTACACATACTATGTTCAGGTTGTGTGCCATCTTGGTATGAATACTTCGGAAGTACCCCATGCTCTAACTTAAGAGCAGAAGTTTTGTGTTTTTTCCGCTAAACTTGCCTTGTGATTTTCTGACACCTCAACAATCTCATCCATTCTATAACGAATTTTAACAAGATCAGAAGATGCTGCGCAAAATTCTTTGCTAACATTTGTTTGCTAGAACATTTAAATTTTTTGCAATTGATATTTTTGAATATATTCTTAGATTAGATATTTCATTTCTGTAGTGTACAGTGATATTGAAATAATCCCTTTTATCTTGTCCTCTATGAAGGAATTTCTGCCTTTATTAAAAACAAAGTCCAAATTTATTGAATTATTTTTGTGTTCGAAATTCTGTACAAAATATGACCTGTTTCTTTCTTTTAAAAAACGATCTCAATTGTTGTTATTTTTGAGTTGTTAATCATACAGAACACCTGCGAATATTATCTATTATTAGGCACAACAACAAACTAATCTCCTCAAAAAGTTGAATATTCTTGAAATGCTGATGAAACTAGACTCTCAATATCCTTTTACGATTTTAGTTTTTCATTTCTCAAATGGTGTCACTAGTTGGTTGCTAAGTTACCTTCATAATATTGGGAGATGAGACTGCGATCTCGGTTCGCTTTATAGTCTGTTGTTTAGCAGCTTGTTGTCTTACATTGTTATATTTCAGTGGAGCGAGACCTAACAAGAGCATTTCCATGGTCGAATACCTATAGTGTAAGTCTTCCATTTAGGATCGTTTACGAGAGTGAACTGAATACATTTTATTTTAGTTTATTTTTATAATATCGACTCCATTGCAACATATTTTCCTTAGGGTGTGCCATATTAGTACAATCATTACTGAATAATTTGATAATTATTGTTAAAAATAATGATGATATTTTAGTATTCTCCATTGAAAGTGATTTGAGAAACAATACAATTTTTATATTGGGGCATTAAATTTCTTTCGGAGCAGTAAGAATTATTTGTATTTGGGGTCCGATGATTTATCTCAAGTTTAAGGTTTTATTGATGAACAACTGTAATTTACACTAGGCTCTAAACTGGACAGGCATTGGTAAAATCAGTTCTTTAAAGAATTTTTTACTTATGATTCACCCTTTCAATTACAGAAGTTACCAAATTAAGTCACTAGGCAGGGTAAAAAAACAACAAACTAAAACCATGGCAAGAAGCGCAGAAAAAGCCATGACGGCTTTGGCAAGATTCCGTAGAATGAAAATGGAGGAGGGAAAAGTTGTAGAACGTCGCCCATACATTGCTTCTGATTGTGACAATTTACAAAAAGCGGAAAAATGGCGTCGACAGATTCTTGGCGAAATTTCAAGAAAAGTCGCACAAATTCAAAATGCTGGTTTAATTGATCATCAAATACGGGACTTGAACGATGAAATAAATAAACTGTTGCGTGAAAAAAAGCATTGGGAAGATAGAATTATTGAACTTGGGGGTCCGAATTACAAACGTATCGGCCCTCGAATGCTGGATCATGAAGGCAAAACAGTGCCGGGAAACAGGGGATACAAGTACTTCGGAGCAGCGAAAGATTTGCCAGGTGTGAGAGAACTCTTTCAGCGAGATGCTCCATCAAAGAAACGTAAAACAAGGGGACAATTGATGAGAAATTTAGATGCAGATTATTATGGTTATCGGGATGAAGATGATGGTGTGTTGGTTCCGCTTGAAAAAGAGGTCGAGGCTAAGCTTATTGCGGAAGCCGTTGAAGAATGGAAAGCCTCACATGGGAATGACACTGCCAATATTACAGAAATAACATCTAAAGAGGAGGATATTTATGCAACAGATAATCCGGAGGTTCTAGGCGAACAATATGAGGCAGATGAAGGAAAGCCAGGTTTTGTTGCACATGTTCCAGTCCCAAGTCAAAAAGAAGTCGAAGATGCATTGCTTCGTCGCAAAAAACGAGAATTGTTGGAGCAATATGCGAGCGAAACATTACAAATGCAAAGCTCTGATGCCCGTACTTTGTTGGGTATTTGAAATTGTTTTCTTGAATGCCTCAGAAAGCAAATATGGCAAGGGTCAATACTTTCAGATGAGCTTCATTGCTTTGCTGATCTAGATTGATTCGAGGTGCGATACCCATCAGAATAATTGAATACAACAAATTCATGTTCACTCGTATTATCGGGCCGAATGCGCATTTTTAAACACTCACCAGCTACAATGGTAGATACAGAACAACTTTTTGCTTATAACTAATGCACACCAGCAAATCTCTATCAAGGATTATATGTAGTAAGATTGAATTTGACATAGCTGTGTGCCGTGGAATGCATTATACTCCACTCGTATTATCTTTGTAACAATTATTTGCTTCGTATCCTTTAGTTGACGGTTTTCCGTGAGCACTTCGTTCATTCTCAATTTTTTTGCTCATCAACCATTGGGCCCTGAAGCTTCACTCATGGGTCTTTAGAAGGGTATGAATAAATGTTTTGTTCAGCAAAGTGGCGCAAAAGAGGCATTCATGAGCACTTTCCCACATATTTTAAATAAAAAAAATTATCTTGTCTTATAGAGAGTTAAATGCTAATTTTATCTGTTTACCAAATTGTTCAGTCCTAACATTTTCCTGAGCAGTTTCCCATCATTCATGTGGTATATATTGATTTTTTCTGAATTGGTTCATACTGAAATTGTTTAAAATGAGTATTTTAACATTTCCTGGTCACAATGAACGGATTCTAAGCCTCTCTGCTATATTTCTACTGAATAAGTCTTACTGTATGTAACAGGTACTTCCTTCCTTTCTATTTCCAAACACCTCTATTTTAATTATTGTGTTCAAACATGTCAATTATGATGACAGATGAAAAATAATAAAAACATTTGGTGTATGCGACTAATGTAAGCCTCACTTGAATCACATGTTGCATTGTTAACTTATGTTTTTTGAGTTCCGAACTTCGATTACCACCAATGAAAGTATCAAATTCAGTTTGCGGCTGAATTTTTACACCTTGCTAAATTGTGAACTCATTTGTCATACTAGCAAAAATTGGTGTCCTGGACTGTTCATGTCTGGTAGATTCACAAAATGCACCGGATATTTTTGGTAATAGATTGCATGTATATTTTCCAATACTGAGGCTAAAAAAGTGAAAAAATGATTCGTTGCAGGTTTCTTATTTCCCTTTCAAATGTTGTGAATATAAAAGTCCATCTATGTATTGTCCAGTTCGACTTTTCCTCTCGAGAAACATTCCCATAGGTGTTCTGGGTGGGAGTGACACTGATCTGTTCCAATATGGAGCTTCAAGTCCGAGTAAATCACGAACGCTTGCTGATATAAACTTGATATGCTCAAAATCTGTAACTCCGAGTTGTGGTAAATGACTGAAAAATAATATAAACTTTGATAGTTTCCAGCTAAGAAATGTCAATTTGTTGGTCATGACTAGCTTGATGGTTTGGTAATAATTCATGGACCTAGGTCATTTGGAATCCACGATGTGTGGGAAAATATAAGCGACACGAACGTGACAATTTCAGTTGATGTACAATTTTAACAGGCCACAGTTTTGGCAAAATGTCATCGTCTAGTTCAGCACTTTTCAACCTAGGTTCTGGTTTGGAGAGTTATGTGAGAGTGTCTCTTTGAATGGATTTCCGAGTGTCTCTTTGAGTGGATGTTTGTGTAAACAGTAGCTTTGCCAACTATTGAGAATAAAAAACCTAGGTCACTCGTGGACATGTGAATTTTGATCCTGATTTGAATGTTTTTGTAAAAAATGCAATAACAGAAGGGTCATTGAATTGAATTTTTTGCTTTTGATCTTCTGTAATAATTTAATTGTTATTGTTGGAGTGTCCAATACCCAAATATTTGACTTTCATACATCATGCATGTATTACTGTCAATGAGTCTTCTATGATGAGCCCAATAGCATATCACAGGATCTACAAAGATAAGGTTGAAGAGCACTTGTCTAGTGAGAGAGACCCCACGCCAATCATAGTTTCGATTAACGTTTATCGAAAAACTTGGCCAAAAATATTGAAAAGCACCAAACAAATATCTTATTATTACAAATGCCCATGTGCCAAATTCCTCATAAGAGCTGATGTTGTTAATTAATGCCACTTTTGGATAGGTTTTGAATGACCCATGCTGCTTGGAAGTATATTGAGACCCGTTTCCATGATTGGTGCTGGTTTATCAAAATTACATTTAATTTGGTGCATGATTGTTAATGGCATACTTATTTCATTAGAAATATACAATAAATAATATTATGTAGGCGGGGCTCGACATTACCATGAATGATTAAACAAAGATCACAAATCTGATTCATATTATATACATGATGGTGACTCTGGTCTGCAAATTTTACCGAATATGGGATAAGGTGTTCGTGATTGACAAGGAAACTGAAGAGAAATGAGCTTCAGAACAAATATTTTGACAGTTTTGTGCAATATCTGTGATCCCATAGGTTAGTTTGGTTTTTAAAGGATGGGCCGTAGTGAGAAGAAAGAATGAATAGACTTCCCGAAAACCAATATTTGTATCTAAATGATATGCTAAAACTAATTTCATTGACAAAACTGACCGAAAAGCAATATAACTTATATCTGCATATGGACAATTATTACCGTAGTTATTCTAGCACAGGGGTGTGCAACATTTTTTTGTTGCTGGGCCATATAATCAACTAAAGACAACCAGCTGGGCCGCACAAAAATTTAGGTTTTCCATGTGCAGCGGTAAAGGCATCTGAGTGTTGACGAGTCACACTATATACACAGGTTGGCTGGGTTATGGCCTGCGGAGAGGGACACCTGTTGCGAGTAGGCTATAAACCTACATTTCGAATGTTGAATCCTAATGCCTACTCGTTTTTCTTCATTTAGCAGTTACTAAATCGGTAACTCACCTCGCATCGGCTAGAATCAGTTTACGGCCATTGACTAAATTCGTTCTGAAACATTCTCTGTATTGTGGGAATCCTATCTCTTCAATCCAATTGGCGACATCTTCAATCGTCCAATGAATACTAGTCGGTACTAATAAGTCTTCTTCTTTAACAGGTGTTGCCATTACCCTATAATCATTTACTATAATTCAAAAATGGCTGGAATCTGATCACATAATGCAGATGCTTTTAATTTATTGAAGTCAACCCGGAGCGGATTTCGTTGCTATGGCAATATTCGCTATAACGAAAGGACTTTTTTTTACTAATCGTCTGTGGGGCAAAAGGTTAGTCGTTGGGCATAAGATAAGATAAAGAGCTTGCTTTCTTGAATTTCCTGATTTTATTAAAAATATCTGTTTCAATCTTTTGTGCAATACATCAAAGTTCATGGACGTTGGAGCTTTAATAAACTCCCGCGTTTTAGATTATTTAGGTAGTAACCTAAACTATTTCTAGTCTCAGTGACCTGTATCTACTCGTATTTTCGTTACCGATAAACCAAGTGTAACGTCATTGGCCACCTGCAATTACTTTTTAGTATTGCTTGTATATGTTTCTAGGCAAAGACTTGGTTTAGAACAAATATTATATACAAAATTTCGATTCCGACATTTCATAATTTATTTTGATATCGAAAATGAGGCTTATATTTACTCCTACTTTACAAGTGATGGAAAAATAGTTCATTGAAATTGTATCTTTGCACTCACAAAATGTAGTATTTTAAAATTCTGAGCAAATGATGCTTCTGGAATATTTTGTATACGTATTCAAATATTTCAGTTTACATAGAAATTTCATCAAGTTTTATATATATCTTCTTTATTATTTGTAATCGAATGTGGAGGCAGTCACTGAATAATGAACTTCAAAAATGAATGTTTTGAAAAGTCGAACAATTTGCATGCATATATCTTTAGAGTAGAACACGAGATCTATCACAGAATAAATGAGAACAAACAATAATAAAACGTATTCGTTTTTGGCCATTCCAAAATATTGATGTAAAATTAATACCAACGGCCCTATTAGAGAGACATCTAATATCCGCCATTCACTGCTCGTTAGATGTGCTACTAATAGACGACATGTCTGTCTTGCTGCCACTAAACCATAATATAAAATGTACAAGAATGGCTGGATCTGATAAACCTTAGAATCGGAGATATTTGCATATGCAATTATGGTAATGATGAAAATAGTGAATAATGGTGATAAAACACTAGCATGTCTAACTTTTTTCGCGGTTATTACTGTGCCAATGAATGTGATTATTGAACCAAAAATTGGAATCAACATCATACTTTGGAGAGGCATGTTTGTAAATGGTATGGTCACTTGCCAAACTTGCGGACCGTAGATCCCAGTCGTAATGAAAATGAAAAACAAAGATAATTCAATTTCATTTACGTCTATTTTCCCCATGTATAACCTGCCTGTGACATACGTGGCCAATTGTCCACAGAAGAACGACGTCACTGATCCCATCAAAATTACGAACATCAAATACGGAAAATTCCCAAGAAACAAAGCACACATAGTCGAAATTAAAATCAAAACTATTGATAAAGAGTCACAACCGTGATCAAACACCCATCCAATAGGAGATGGCATGCCAGTTCTTCTGTCTTGTTTTCCATCTAAAGCATCCAGAGTTACGTAAATGAATATTCCTGCAGCATTCAGAAAATAAACCCAAGATGGCGCAGCCTCCACTCCAGTAGGCGAATAGAAAACTGTGATCAGTGTTGTCATTATATTGATAAGCAAACCAGCTAGAGTTAAAGCGTTGAATGGAATCCACACCGGAACATGGTTGATTAACCATTCCCAGAAATATTGAAAATATGGATCAAGAATCGATCTTCCTTCAACGATTCCAACAAACTTTTCCATCCGTTTCAATTGTGCAGGAGTCAATGAATACATTGTATGACTGGGAAGTGACTGCAATGGAACTTCAAAATCATATATATATATTTGCTGACTAGAATTTTATTTATTGCGTAAATGAATCTTAAAAAAAAAAAAAGGAAAAATTTATACATGACTGCAATTTTGGTTTCGTCTGACTTGTGTCTTCATGCACCTGTGTTATTTTTACTCAACTTTTTCAAGGTTTATTATTAGATTGCAAGTAGAGTTTTAAAACAAATATTATAGTCACTAGCCAGTAGGGTTTAAATGTTATTTCTGGTTGTTCGCTGGCTAGTCCTTATCTGATGCGGACACCGCGTACACCGTTTCCGAAGACATGTGTTGATATCGAGTACAAAGTGAACAATTCAAGGTTGACAGCCAAACAAAACACAAGTGACACTGTACGCATGTCAAGGTTTATAAATTAGTCTCCTGGCTGCCATCCCTCTCATAACTAGTCATTTATATACTTGTTTTGGTATCTTGAAGGCATGAGGCTTTAATGTCATGGTAGCCTACAGACCGTGCGATTGTCTCTCTTTTATTACCCTGGTTCGATTCTAATTTTAATGTTCGAGTAAGATTAAAAAACACTTTCAAGTTAAAACACATACAACTGTTAACTAAAGGCAGTTAAATTAAACCAATATATATGCTATAAGCCTATCTTTCAAGCCTTATATGTTTCAAGCCTGCCTTTGTACCAGGTGTTTTCCAGTAGTGTGTGTACCAGAAGGGGTTAGGCCAAAATTTGACTCCGATTTTCCTTATTTTAGTTCTGTTACAAGTTCGGGGACTGTCTGTGATGACCAAGTGAATATACCCCCTGCCCATAGGCTTCCGTCCTTTTTCACAACCACATGTAAAGTAGGCGAACAAAAAGAGTTACCTCCAGATTGGTGAATACACTTCTGAAGCGCCGTTCCAGGTACTGAATAAAATTAACTTCACTAAATAAATTTTGTGAAGTTTACTGTGTAGATATACTTTGCTGCATCACAAATTGGAAACTCTTTCTCATGCAACAACAAATTAAGAATGAAGCGTTATATTACTAAATATGATTTACGCATGAATCGATTGCAATGATTACGTGTTCGAGTCATCCCAAATAATAATTCATGTAGTTCGTGACTGAGTGATGTTCGCTTTCCCCTACACATTCGTTGGCCCATAAGAGTTCTGAATAAAATGAATGACGCTAACTCACGATCTTATTGATTAAAGTTTACGCTCAGTCAAGTCATGATGTACAGTTGACGGACCCGACTATGCTTTCTATTGAACAGACAATTTTGAATTATTCATCGTCATTTCAGCGTGACATAGTAAAGCACGTAAATTTGTCCAATGATTGAAGCTTTATAGTAGCCGTTCCCACAGGGCGCCTCGCGCCGCGCAAGTGCATGATGCAAGTGCATGATGTTTGAATTGGTGATGAGTTCGGTGACGTTGTTCTTCTGTGGTCAATGGGAGATGTACAATATCGGAAAATTGTATGTCGCAAAAATAGACATCAATGAGTTAGTGGTACTTATCTCAACTGTCCTTATCTATGTTATCACTGGCATGTGTGGCCCTCAGATTAGGATATCAACTATTCCATATATAGATTTGCCCCTCAATATCTTACTATCATTTCAATTGCTTTATCAATGGCTACATTCATTTGGGTAGTAATGGCGCATAAACGTCTTGAACACGCCAGCGTTTTACAACTATTGTTCACCATATTCGTCGTTACGATTCTTGCAATAACTAATACCTCTGAGTCTATGTTTAATTAAAGCAGTATATTTGTTTATATTTCATTCTGTGGTATAGTGGGATCAAAACAGACATCTCATATCTCAGTGGCTCATCAACCAGTAGCTCATGAAATATATTTGATGTCTCTTTACTGTCACCGTTTGCATTGTATTCAACGTTTTGGAGTAATTGGGAACGACTATGTTTTTCTATGGGCATGCTTAACTTGTTCTTTGATAGATATAATCGTGTATTTCTCAGTAATTTGCTTGCAAGTTGTTCAACAATTCCAAACATCTATGTTTGAAGTTCGTTACACAATTTCCGCCTTTACGAACAACCACTATGTACAACAGACTCAAAATAAAAACAAGTAAACAATTCTTTGTTTAATGTTATTCGTAAAAGAAGTTAGAGTAATTATTTCCATCAATTTCGTTTCATAAAATATGTTGTCTAAATAAATGATTTAAAAAGCTTTTTTTGCAAATGTAAAATTTTTATCCGAAAAAATAGTTTTATTCTAAGATTTTACGACAGCATTCAAAACAGTTTGTGTAATTGATTGCAAGGCGTTAAGTAAAACCAAAAATATGAAATTGAAAATTGTTTTATAGCATCCTTCGACCATCCAGGAAATTTCCTGCCGTGCGTATAGCAATGGAAACGATTATGGTATAGATTTTCGAATTTATGTTTTAAGCAATCTTTATTGAAGGTCTTGAATTGTCTGACGCGAAAGACGTAAATTGTCAAACAAACCTTATATATTCATACTAAACACTCACATCTGCCTATGATCTCAATATTATACTCTTGCGTCGTGATTTCATCACATCTGTTTGCCAACTATATAAAAAGTGTACTTACTTGATTACGTTTTTATTTGTTGTTATTAGTTTGTTTTGTGAGCAACGAAATGTGGAAAATCTATGGAGACTTAGGTTTTTGAAGTTAGTGAAGTATTTTCAGCGTATTTTTACCATTTGTTTATATTTATTGCATGCTTGTTGTATATTTGCCTCATGACAATTATGTATTGAGTGTTGTATGCAGCTATATCATCAAAGTTAAAAGTAAATGAAGATAAGATTGATTCTTACTGATTTAAACTATGGCGTATGCCGTACGGCATCGTTTTTTAAACTGTGTGCTGCGGAACATTGGTGTTCCGTGAGCTCTTCCGGAGCGTTCCGGGGAATAGGGATCAAGATTGCGACTAAATTGGTCGCCATTGCGATCTCGGCGAAACATCGGCGACTCCAGACAGGAATGCTTTTCAATCAAGATATGATAGTTTGTATGCCGACCCTGAATATTTGAAATACTAAACTAACTACATTGACGATTTATGTATGTCTGCAGTCTGCACCATTCTCACATAGACATTAAACTTGACATTAATTACCTCTTTTATCTTTTTTAACTTTATAAAACTGTTTTCTGTGTTTCAAATGAATCATTCAAATGAATGATTTTAAATGAATCAAATTACCTTAGAATTTATTTCGATAATCTCAGTAGTCGCATTCACAATTGCTGAATTTTCAATGCCAACGTTTTGAAATCTAATCTTGAAAACACTCTGATACTAAAGTAGCTCCGTTCTGTGTATTCTCTTTACCTAAGTAAGTATATTTCAATTTTCCGTTAAAACAATGAGACAATACAAGGCAAAACAAGCAAATATACGGAAAATCAGGAAAGTAGGCAAAATCTGGTGAGATTTAAGACGTGTTGATCCACGTGACCACTTACCCAAAACTGCAAACAACACGTTGAAGTAAATTAAAAAAAAAAAAAATATATGTAGATATGTTATTACATTTTAGTTACCACGGACCGATATAATTTGTACCAACTGTTTTCGGATTTCTGCTTTGTAGACTCAACACCCGAATTAACTGACAGTGACTGAGCCGACCGTTGGCATTTTTATGACCATTATTATTATCATTTAACCTAGATAGCAAAGGTAAGACAGTCCCGAAATTTTCAAATTTATCATAACTAGAATTGACAATTATTATGATCTTTTACAATCGCAGCTATATCTTGTTTTTCCCGAAGAACTATGATCTAACGCAGTGCTCCGCAACCTTTTTTAACTTGCGGCACCCTTATAAAACTTGCCAAATTTGACGGCACACCACAACAAACGAAAAATACAAGGTGTAACTTTGTTTTATGTTCATATAACAATGAGAGATTTGTGGTTGTTTTAATGAGCACAATCGCTCTATATTAGGATCATTACGTGACGCGCAATCAATTTTGCAACACGATAACTAGTTTCTAAACTTTTTCGGAGACTGTAAAAGACGACTTCACAGAGCACTCTTACTTCTTATTTTGACTTAACAACCGCTGGTAATAATTTATATTCTTGCGTGCATGAACGGCATGTTTCGTATTTAAGTGTGAAAGTTTAAGTAATGAAAGTTTACTCGGAAACATTGCTTCATTTGAAAGTTGCTCTCCCCAAATAACCCAGACTGGTTTTGGAGCATCTCCGTTACCACAGCAAAAAATCTATATTTGACGTAATCTTCCTTGTATTTCCTTTTGACAAGTTTTTTTTCCAACGTTGCTTGTGCTAGCAATGTTCCCTCTAATTTTTGTAGTATGTGTGCGCAGAAATTTTGGTGTGTGCGCACTTTTTCGGAAATGACTAATATTTGTGCAAAAACCAATGAATAAATTTTGGCGTTCTAACCGGGTAATGGGTGGGCCAACAACAAACTTTCTCAACCTGCCAACCGAAAACATTGTTACATTACATCGAAATACGTCTGTGCGCAGTAAATCTATGCGTGTGCGCGGCCTCAGAAAGATGTGTGCGCGCGCACACGCGCACACCTTAGAGGGAACACTGTGTGCTAGGTACAATATGTTGCTCAGTATCAGCTGTTCTTTTTAAAAATTTATCCATTTTGCTAAACTTTTTAATTAAAGACCACTGGGCACTGATTCTGCAAACTCACACTTTATTTATATTCGATTACTACACGTGCTATGTTTTAGCCTCGACAATAGGCTTTACAATATACATGCTTGTTATATAGACCTACTCCTTGTTACGTCACAAATGCACTGTGGGTGTGTCAGGAATTTGAATTGGTGTCGCTCAAGCTAACGTAAAAGCAGGTTAAATTTATGTTAGTAGAGTAGAGTAGTAGACTAACGCAAAATTAACAAAAGATAAAAAATAATTTGTAATAAGAAGAGAAAAGTTGCAATTCTTGTGCGGCACACCTGGCATCGTCTCGCGGCAAACCGGTGCGCCGCGGCACACCGGTTGCAGAGCACTGCGTGAGCTTACAAATATATTTGCTATTTTGTGGAAAGATACAATGGCAATTCTCATTTTCAGAGTGCAAGTTTCACCTTACATCAACAAATGATCCTTTGAAGATCAAACGAATAATAGGAAAAGAATGCGCAGCAAAGGAGAAATAAAGGGAGCTTAAAAATGAAAGGGGGGATTTCAGAAAAATGCTGTTTCCGATATGTCGCGACGCTACGCGAAACTCGGAGATTAATTGATATCGCTAGGTACGATACGGAAAGTAAGGTACTTGGTTAGGATTCCCTGTCCATATATTTGAGCATCGATCTCTTGTTTAGATACAGTGGCCAAAATTTAGGGATGCAAGTCATTGGCGGGCCGCACATGTTTTTAGAAAGTAAAAAAAACGAACGGATAGCCGATGAATCATATTTTTTCACACAGATCATATCTCAAAAAACTCCATTTCAATATTTTTTGCGCCATTAAACCTTTGTACCCGGCCCGCGGGCCGTAGGTTGCCGAACCCTGACATACACGATTGTAACACGACTGAGCTTACAATACAATCAATCAATCCCTGTCAACATTAATTTTAACACCCATCGTTCAAGCATCCTTGTTGCAACTGAAACATAAGGATCCGAAGTAAGAAGTAAAAAAAAGAGAAAGGAACTGCGGTTTAATATATAAAACCCCAGTAACCCCCAAAAATACAAAATTATTATTTCCATATTGTTATTTTATTACAAAAAAGAGAAAGAAATATAAAGACACCAACAAATTAAGACTTTACTGAGTTGTATGTGTAATATATAAACGGAAATGGAACCTATATTGATATTAAAGAATGATTTTGTGGGCATTCATGCAAATTTTATTAGATGTCATTTTGTAGACTATACGAATACGAAGAACTGGGAACATTGAAACGAATAACGATGCACAGCCACAACATACGTTTTCCTAAGTGCGTTTGATGTACTGGTGTTTTTGTCTCGATATTGGCTTTTACCTCACGCAGAAATACAGAATGTGGGATGGACAATTTTCAAATTTACTCGGTATATAAGACAATATTCTAAACAGAACATGAATTATTGGTTTTAGAGGGTGTTAAACTCTGGAACGCAATAAAATATCAATAAGTTTATAAGGACTTCGGGATAGTGTTTCAAAAATATTATTTAAAAGACCTGTGATGTTTTGCTCACAATTTTCCACGAGAGGATGTAAGTCTGGCAATGAACTGATATGGTTATTTTTAGCACGATTGGTTCTGCGTTATTATTGCAGATGTATTGACTTGAATTGTTCGTGTTAGATTTAGAGCTAAGATCTGAAGCCCGAGTCCATGCCCGACCCGTCCCGAAATTAGTACGGGGTCGGACCTGAAATGTCAATCACTATGTTGAATTTCTCTATCGCTGACTTTTTTTTAAATGGGGCGTTTCGGTCGTGCTTTAGTCACGGGAAACCGTGGTCTGCAAAAAACAGAAGTTGCCTCATCAACACGACACATACTGTACTAAACTCTTGCAATGACAATTTCACGAACTACTAAATAAAATATGAAATTTCGGGTTTGCTTCGGGCTCGGGCCTGCAAATCCAGTTAATTCGTCGGGTCGGGTTTAATACCCACAGGCCTGGGTCGAGTCGGGCTGGAATTTTTGGGCCCGATCTTTCCTCTAGTTTGGTTGTCCTTAATGCAAGTCGTTTATATGTATTCAACCGATCCCATTTATTGACTTTAAATTTGACTTTATGAAAAGTTTTCCCTTGCATTTACCTAAGCGATTTGTTACAAGTTTTGAGCGTTTCACCTTCATCTTTTGATGCTTCTCATCTCGTGGAGTGCTTGCGTACCGTTTGTATAATTGTTCATTTGAAATACTGTAATTTACGTATCAATGGACTCATAGTGAACATTTTCAATTGTTTTTCCATCGCTTATGACCACTTTACTATCGGTTTCTCCTTTTGTGATCTCATTCAATTTATCATACTTATTCCCATTCGCGTCGCCGTTAAGTACAATTTCCGTTGCCGGCAGCGGGCGCTCGTAAGTATAGTTTCCATCGATAGGTATAATGTATGCTTCGGTGTACTGGGCTGTTCCGTCTCGACTTGGAGGACCGTTTAATTGCTTGGAGTCTTTCCTCTCAACTACCCAGGTTCGAAGTCTTTTTCTGCAAACAAATTTTAACATTATATTCGTGATTTTTTATTTAATGCAAATAATCTCTTAATCAAAATAGATTTGTGCTCGCAAATATAATCATAACATTGGTTGAAGTATACTAAAATAAATCATTATTATGATTCTTTTGTACTCTTTACTGTTACATTATTGACAATTTTTGGCGCTCCAGAAGTATGTGTACCAATTTGGAGGTAACTAATTTAGTTCGCCTACTTTACATCAAGTTGTGTAAAGGGACTGAAACCTATGGGCAGGGGGTATATTCACTTGGCTAATACAGACAGTCCTGAACTCGTAATAGAAATAAAATAAGAAAAATCGGAATTAAATGATGGCCCAACCCTAACTTGGTACACACACTACGGCAGTAACCATATTGTATCGATTCTACTGTATGACAAATCTTCTGGTGAATATTGATTGAGACAGTACTCATATACGATAAAATATTCGACAATTCATAATGCTTCAGAAATGTAGAAATGTACTTTACACCGATTTTTCAACATTAATCAAAGGAAGCAATAATATTACCTGAAAATAACAGCAATAACAACAAACAAGAAAATAACAAGCAAGACGACAAGAGTTATTATCAGAATCATATTCGTGTTGCCGGCGTCTTCAGGCTCCATGGTATCTGATAAAATTTAAAGTTAAGATTATCCGTCAGTCAGTCAGTAGTTTATTTTATCACAAACCGAAAGTACACATTGGAAAAACATAATCAAGAAAGATAAAAAAATGCATTTCAGTGTCGAAGGAGACGCGATAAACGAGAGATGGTTATCGTCACCTTTGAGGGAGTATGTCTAACATTAAGTCATACTGAGAAAGAAGTCAAACATAAAATACTAACAAGCCGGACTTTGAGACACATTCAAGCGACCCGGTATCCCGGAGTCACTCTAGTTAACGTTATTGAATTGGGAATGTCTGAGTTGTGAATTATGTCTTTTTATTTTGACACCAAAACCATTGGCATATTGGGGTAAATATTTGCCAAAATAAAAGTTGTTTGCTCTCGAATAAAATGACTATTTTTGAACTTGATTAGGCCTACTTGCTTATAGTACATTTACCTTTCGCTATTTTTGTGCTCGCTGTGATCCTAGTAGTAGTTGTACTTTTAGTTTTTGCTGTTTGTAACGTTCTTTTTTCGATATATTCCGTACTCGATATCTGCGTTGTTGTTGTTCGGGCTGTGGGGGTGGTGACAGGAGTCGCCGTTGTGGTTGTGACAGTAGAAGGAGTTGTGCCAGAGTCTGTTCCCGCTGCACTTACGTTGTAGGTCATTGATATGGCACCGGGAGACACTGTGTGAACAGAGAAATGTTTTGTTTTGGGATTTTTATGAAGAAAGTTATTTGAAGAGAAAAGAAGCCAACGTCAGCTTCTTGTTTATGTTGTTTCAGATTATCAAGGTTCGTCAAGATGGCATTTACACTATCGTTTTGTGGGTGATGACTAACATTACATGAGGCGAATAACCACACATATCATTTCTGTGGGTATGAGATAGACAACTTGTTTATGTAAAAGTACATTTAAACTTGAGATGATTATTAGGATTTTCACGGCATAACCACATCTTTTGGCCTTGGTATCCTGTTTGATACGCATATGCGTGACTCATTTTGTTTTGGTTTGTATATCACAACTTACAAAAGGTAATTTTTGCATTGTATACACAAAGCCGATGTTTGAATTGGACCGTACAGAATTTTCAAACTTTTTTCCGCTCGGCTTTTATTTTTTTTTTCAGTTTGAAAATTTACTCAAATTGATTTGCTAAATTCCGCGAAAATCCGCCTAAGATGATCAGCCTGGCACAAATACATAAAACGAACAAATTGTCATAGAATTATCTTTATTCAATTCGATGCAATCAAGGTATTTATTTGCGTTAAGCTAGCAGAGCATTTCAAAAACAAACCCACATGGTTGGAATGAAATTCGAACTATTGTGAAAGGATAGGATTTACATATTTATCCCGGGGAAGAGGAAAGCCGATAAGACGACTTAATCATATAGCGAACCACGGCCTCTCGTACGGTTACTAGTCCATGTCGGGTATGGGATTAGTTAGCCAGTTAGTTTTTTCAGATGTATGAACATGGATAGGAAATAAAAAGTTCAACTTTACCTGTAGTCGTAGTAGACTGAGTAGTTAGGGGCGCGCTGCAGTCAACGAACTTATAATCCAATTTAAATCCAGCTTTTGTGAAGTCGGCTTCCTCAGTTTGAAATGAGATATCCAAAGGCCAGGTTGAGTGGACAAGTGAATGACAAGTCGGATATTCCATCAATATTTTGCGATGGCAATCCAGGTTTGAACTGTATTTCATGAGAATAGCGAGACAGACAGGTCCTTCCTTTCCACATGCTCGAACTGTAAAGATGGGGTTCAGATTAATTAAAAATGGTCGTCGTAGATGTTTGCCCAGCTTCGTAGGCCTAAAGGTGCCCTTCGATATTGTTTAGTTTGGAAATTTGAACTGAAATACTGTAATCTTGAACCCATTTTGGGCCTCTGGTTAAAGAATTTAAATCGGGCAATTTTTCGGGGCCAACAAGTCTGACTCATTTAACGTGAACAACTTAATATTTATTTTTACCTGGCCCTAGATTGAGAAAATTCTTTGTGTTGTAGCAAACATCGGCTGCATCTGGCAAACCGTCTACATTAGTATCAACGTTAACTATATCGATTATGAGAAGCTCCGGTACACGTCCTTTTGGCGGATTCAGACTCCAGTCACATCTCTCATTTCCATAATAGTACTCCGGATAACCCGTTGATTTTAAAGACCCGGACATGGAATATAAGTTGAATGGTGATTTTCCATTGGTACATGCACTGAATGCAATTGGCAGAAACCCTGAAAATAGGAAAGTCGTAACAAATTAAACAGCGATCTTCGCCTGATCACTTACTGCACCATCACATGAATTCCTCGCATAATTATAGCTATATAAAAAAAGGCTTCTATATTTCATTCAACACTGAGAGCATACAAAAACGATAATAACCTCCATACAACGTTATATATGCAAGGCCGTTTAAAACTCAACAGTGAACTTTTAGACTGGGTATTGTAGACGATTTTTTGAAGACGAATTGGGCAGTTAAAAAATGATATAGGTGATATGCAAGTATGTACAATTTCTTACACACCAATATACCGTGTTTCCCACAAATAAGACCTACCCTGATAATAAGACCTGCCCTGAAAATAAGACCTAGCATGAATTTTAAAAATGATTTTAATGTAAGCCCCTCACCTTAATAAGCGCTAATCGATAGCGCAAATTCTTTTTTGACTTAGTCGACAGCAAGACATTTTCCCTACGCGTTTTAAGAGATTAATATTCTATGTTTAGCAGTTATTTCAAATAAAAACGTGTTATTTATAAGTAAATGGATATCGCTTTTCATATTTTGTATATTTGTAAATCTCGTAATTCTCTAAATGAAAATAAAAGACATCCCCTAAAAATAAGCACTAGTGTTATTTTCCCAAAAAAATAATTGAAATAAAACAGCGTCTTATTTTAGGGGAAACACGGTATTACTGTTTTCAAGACTGATACATTCTTATTTTCCCAATAATCCTCTGCTATATAGATGGTCTGAACAATTTGCCTATTTAAAAACAAACGACCTTTTATTGTATTGCATCATAAGTCCAAAATAAACGAGACGATGAACGTAATAAGCTATTTGCGAAAAGAATCTTAGTTCCGCAAGTCATATTTTTCAAAAAATGACGTAATAAAGGCTGGAAATTTTTTATACTAAATTCGGTATCGAGTAACAAATAAATTTCAAAATCAAAGCAATTTTGAGCTAATAAAAATATGAAAACATCTAGTATATATTCAATTTTATTGGTAACTTAGTATAAAAAATTTTCAGTAAGAATTATCTTATCACAAGCTATTGTGACGAAACACCGCGTCGGGAAGGCAAATTAAAAATCAATTCTTACCAGCAAGCGCAAGAAGGAAAATTCCCAATCGATGATCATGATTCATACATCCCATGTTAATGTGTTTGTAAATGTTCAATTTGCTTTCAACTAAACTATGAGCTAAATTTAACTACAATCTGTTAAAATACAAAACGTATAAATGTTCGTTAACTGTATATTATTTGATGCGATTGGACACGAAATGGGCCTATAGATCGTTTTGATATTTTCTTGATGTTGTTAGAATTCTTGTTATTATAAAAAAAAATCGCTTTTCTCTTTAAGTCCACTTTAAATTTTTAGTGATTAAAGATTGTTGTTATCGCTAGAAGGCTGTTACTTTTATTTTTATTTTCAAAATATTTGTGATCTCTGGGGCTTTCCTTTTATTGTGCGATGACGTCTTCAAAATTAAAAATTGCACACCTTGTGGCGATTCCGCGTTCACCCTTGTTCCTATGGCCGGGCGAATTCGTGAAGACAGTGGTACCGGCAGTCTACTGTGAAAGATTTCATACCCGTACTACTTTGTTTTGGCTTTCGTGTCCATATATTTGAGATTACTCTATTGTTTTTTCACAATCATAACCATGAAGCAAAACTAATAAACCTGCCGTAAGTTACTAATTAGTTGTTTATGCGGTATACTAACTAACATATATCACTCCATGCCAATCGTTAGGTGTATCCGAAGTGCTTTTTAGTTAAATGCCCGGTAAGTCAAGTAAATACTCTTGGTGTTGTAAACAAGAAGTATTTGGATTTCGTACACACAAGCCTATAAACTTATGGCTCCAATATCGGTTCAAACGAGCCAGTATTCATTGCTTTACAAAATGAATGCCAAACGTTCAAATGGGAAATACAGAGGCATAGCTCGGACTTATATACCGTGTTTAAATTAATAAGAGGCAAATTTGGAATCGAACGAAGAAATATATTATTAAATCCCATTGGTCTCGCTCACTCAGTGGCTTAATACCAAGTCATCTCCTTATTAAAACCATTCTCTGCAACTTAACTCTTATAATTTTATGTGAGGCGTTGATCAGAGCAACGGCACAACTATTAATCTGAAAATTCTCAACTTTTTTCAAAACGGCTCTTCGCTCATTTTTTCTTCCCCCACTACAAATAAAAATTATGTTATATAATCCTTAGCTGATGTTACACGCAACTCGCAATATAATTTTTGTACTGTTTGAATACTTTATAATGTGTGAATATTCTAAATATGTGTATAGACAATACTACACGCAGATACATACATATAAAATATCTTTACTCTAAAAGAGCGAAATTTCGGTCTCGGAAGAAATTTTTCCCTGGGTCGGAAACCATTCAGTGCTGCTAGATAGTCTTAGCTATGTCGGCTTACAGATAGTCCGACTATATTTGCCTAATTGCGATTTTTTTGTCAAGTCGGAAATGCCATTTACCGTTATTGTCACATTAGACATGCTCTATGTCGCTCTCAAAAAACGACAAACTTTTCTTCAGCCTGCTTGTGCACGGAAAGAAACGCTAAACGTTCTCTTTGTGCGCAGACAACACAAAATATATTTCGCCATTTAATCGAATCCATAATTTGGCACAAATTTAACGCACGAATTCGATTAGAGCGGCGGCAAAATATTGGCAGGGATTCATAATTATGACAAATGGATGTCTTTCACGTCACGTGATTAACGTCGACCAATGATCAGCCTTAGATAATTAGGCTTCAATCCAATCAGACATTTCTGGCGTGAGATGTGAGGTGAAATTTTCACACTATCTTCGCTTATCTATTATGCATTTAAAATCTCAGAAATTTGACCTGCTAATTTACGTTTAATCGATGAAATCAAATGAAAAAACTAGATGTTTCAATGCTGTCAGTAAATAATGCGATAAGCTGGACAAACCATAATCACATGAAGCAAGTCAATTTATCACGTTTTTATCAATAAATAACCTCCGCACGATTGTAAGTTTTATTTCTGGAAAACTTAATCTTTGACTCGTCTGGGATATAATTGCAACGCATCAAATTCAAATTTATCATACGCATGTTGTTAACCAATCAGCAAGGAACTGGCCAAACAAGCCCTTTGCCATTTATAAATAATTCCACTCATTGAATACGGTGCGTTCGATGCAAATTTTGTGGAATATAGGTTAGTATTTAATACATTTAATAAAATTGATCGCAAACTAAACTATTTTTGAAATTGTTGGCGAAGTGTTGATCGCGTGAATGTTGGTATCTTCCGCTTGATAATTTATGCATAAAAATCGCTCAAAAACGCAAATAATAAAAAAATTTGCGTCTGTTAAACTACTGATGATATTAAATCATGAAATAACTAAATATTTGCGCATGTTAAACCGGGCCGGCTTTACATGCTGTAATGGTTTTAGTAGCAAACTTAAAATGGATGAAAAAAAAAAAATTAATAGAATCTAACTCCGCACTCATCCTTCCTCTGCGTACTATTATATTAACTATTTCCTAACAAAACCTGCACACTCAATTGAAGCTAGGCAAAATCAGTAAAAACATCCACTAACAAGCTAAATAAACTAAAAATCTATTTGCGAACTGCCAACATTGATGGCAGATCCTATGTCGTTACAATTGATATTACAAAGAATATTTAACTGACATTTCATGACACATATACCCATTTATCTATTTTTTCACACCAGCTTGCAAGAATATATGCGTTGAAAATTTTCATATCAAAAGTTCATACACTGTATAAAATAAATTTTATAATTGAAGAATATATAACTATTCATTATTCGGTGCTCCCGAAGTATTCGTACCATGATGGCGCACAATCTTAACATAGTATGTGTACCGGGTTAAGGTTGGTTCTGTTTGTGCGTCATCTTAGTACAAATACTTCCGGATCCCCCATTATTTAGGGCCAAATCGGTTTCAATCTATTGGCTTACAATCAGACTCATAACAACAACGACTTCAAAAAACATAATATATAGCATGTGGCACAATGGCGCAACAAACAAACGAGGAATGACTAACTTCCTCATTTTACTAAATTACCGTCATTAGGTGATAGAAGTCTGGCCAACACACGATGACTTTGTAAAAAGTTTCAAATACGATTTCTGAATAATTGTCAAACAAACAATTACTCTAGCGCAAAACGATTGTGTTTAATTCCCCGAGGAAGATAAGTAGCAGTGCGCATTGCGTGGGCTTGTTGGCCTAGTAGTACTGTATTTACAGGGCCGGACCCTGCGTTTTAGAGACTTCAAACACTTCAGACTTTGGTGCCTTATATATAAAAAAATGAAACTGGCGGTATTTTTGGCAATAGTTGTTATGCCCACAAACATTTATAGAGTGTTTTGAAATGATAAATTGGTACGGAAAAAGAAAAAAATATTCATTTCAATCTGGCAAATATTTAGGCCTGTGTTGTCTGATCAACACGAATTGTTTAATTTAACACTGAGGCACCATTGAAATTGATTATGAAAATTTATTTGATGCTCCTTTCTATTAGTGCCCTAAGCACGTGCTTATTGTGCTCCCTGAGTTTATATAAAGGATTTTTCTAGTCCCGGAGAACTAGAATACAGAACCTGTCACTCAAACTTAAAATTATTATCGTTCCTGACTCAGAATTTTGCAAGGCGTCTGAGGAGTGGATGTAAAACGCGACAAATCACAGCAAACTAGGTGTCGTGTCGGTGCTGTATTATAGACATATCAAACGTTAAACACGTAAAAGGCTTGTGATGTAGTAAATGATTGGAGGATGGCCAGTTCATAATGCGAATATACGACGAACAGATCTATTCCAAAAGCATGCAAACAGCGTAGCGTAATACATGACCAACAAAAACTCAAACAAAGGTTTTTTACCTTATCAATGACATTAGCGCGTTTCTAAATGAATCTAACCATAGTTTTCGACACTCACGACACGGCTGGAGTATCAGTATTTCCAAATCACTAAATTCCCCTTTTCATAAGCCTATTTTACCCAGCAAGCAAATCTCTAAATGCGGTCTACGTTACATATTACTCCGAGAAAAACAACGTTCAGACCTGCTGGATGATCGGCTTGAATAACTATATCGTCCACGAGTTATGACTGAGCGGACCGTGTGATTATTTACAATCATTTACTCTGACATGTCATGTCCAATACGTGTCAATTTAGTAGAAAAATATCTCAGTTAAAATGCAAATTTCTTGTCTAGCATTGTTTTACAAATATGTACATCGTGATTTAGTGTGACGTAATTCGTCGAAATTTCGCCATATATAGATTATATTTTGAGAAATTTACACCTATGCTCTCATAAAAAACGTGCTCAAAGGTAGATTTAAATATTATACATTAAATTTATCATTATTTTTTTTATAATTGTATAATCATTTAAATATACTTTGAAAATTGATATTGCTGATGACGATTTAATGATCGTAACAAACAAATCAAGCTTTCTAACTTTCTTTAAAATGACATTTTTACCTGTGTGTACTATATACTATCAATCGAAACAATAATTATCAACAACTTCTTCATTATGCTTAATTGCTATTACAGTAGCTAAGGTCAGTATGCTTCGCTACTTTTTATTTCAGGGTGTGTGAGTCCAAATTTACAGGGGTGTTAGACATTTTGCTGTTAGCGATAAAACTAATGGTACTCTCGAAGTATGTGAACCAAGATGGCCGACACTGAAACTTAATATGTATACCAAGTTAGGGTTAGGCCATAATTTCAGGTACAAATACTACGGGAGTCACTTGGCTAGTCCCGAATAGGAATTTTAGTAGAACTGAAATAAGGAGAATAGGAATAAAATTATGGCTTAACCCCAACCTGCTACACATTCTACGTTGCTGTGCCCGCCATCTTGGTTCCCATAATTCGGGAGTACCAAGCTAACTACAACTTATAAAAATGTATTACGTATACGACTGATCATCTACACTGGCGTATACGCTTATTTCTGGACATTCAGATACATTTGTATTTAAGTTAGAAATTAAAGTGTGGTGCGACATCTCAAAATTATGTTTAAAATTTTACCCATCTAGGCGTGCAGGGATAGTACTGGTTGAGATAGCTTGAGATTTTGTAACTAATTAATCTCTTTTGTGTTTCAAAATTCGATACTCGGTGATA